GGCTGTGTTCCGATTCCCCACCCGGGTGCACCCAGACACCCAGAGAGCGTTCAGATTCCTCCCAAGTGCTCTCGCCGGACTCTCAAGTGAGACGTTCAAATTGTCACTCTATTCACCCGGGAGAGCGTAAAAACCACCCGGCTCCGTGAGCCGGGTGGTTTGTGAGTGAAGATGAGTGGCAATAAGTGCGGGCAATATTGAAAAATCTAGTAATATTGTAAGTCAGAATCGGACATCAGATGCATTGAAAATTGTGTATAATCTCATGTCTAATACCGGCTTTATGTATGCTATAAACCATGATGTAATAATAGCCGTGTTCCGATATTTACTGCCAGTATTGAAAATCTATAGTGTATATGACATACACTATAGATTTTCAGTACTGGCAGCGAATATCAGAACACGGCCAATATATATTATTACATCATGCTTTAAACTGCATTTGGGCAACAGGTTTTTACAGGTATTTACAAAGATTTACAGGCTTATGCCAAAAGAAAAAAAAAAGAAGAAATTTATACGTTGTTAATACTAATATTGACGCTTTGATTGTTAGTAAAACTGCGAAGTCGAATAGTGATAGTGTGAAAACGTTTATAGTTACAACGCACAATAATTTTCTTTCTTTGCCCGCTTTCCTTTGATAACTCAACCATTGATTAATTTCTAACTAGATAGGGCGATCACGCATTACCAAGATGCCAACGCCGTTTGGAGACTTCAGATTCCTACGGAGTGCGTTCTGATTCCATTATCCTCTCAGACACTTTTCGTTAAACTCCGCCCATCACCCGCTCACCCGACTATCACCCATCGGGTGAAGAATCGGAACACAGCCGAGCGCGGAAACGCGGAAACGCGGAAGAGAATTGTAACTAGAAAAGTAACTATTCCGCGTTTCCGCGAATTGAGTCGTTTCTTTCCGCACATTTGAGCGGAATCCGCGGAATCCGTTACCGTCTCAACAAAACTCAACAAAAGTGTATAGAAAATATAAAAACTTTATAAATGGATGGTCCTGTAAGTATTTGAATGCTTTTTAGTACTTAATAAACATAGTAGCTTATTATTTTTGGAGAAAAGTTTCTGTAATTTACACACTTCTTTCGATATAGATATAGAATTAACACGTAAATGTAACCTAACTTTAGGTTTTGTACTGCTTTTTGTAAAAACAAACAAACAAACAAACAAGTTTTTTGTAAAAATAATAATGAAATGACGTAAGGAAACACAATATTAAATTTGAACAGAATAACATTATTAACACCTATTGCAAAGTTATAACCTCACTTTAGATGAAATAAAGATAATTAAACGATTGTATTTGTTCACAGGCAACAAAGTGTGGCTATTGCGGCTTCATTTTTAGGGGCTCATGTGGAACAATTTTGGACCACCATTGTTTCAAGACATACAATGAAACTATAGATGTTATAAATGTTGACAGCGATGCTGTGGTTACTATGAGTACGTATAGTACAGAACAGTCAATTGAGTCATTTCGCGATAATTGTAATTGTTTATTTATTTATGTTAAAGGAAAGAGACATCAAACTGAAAGTGTTGTGCAACATGAAGGAGCTTTACAATCTGATACACAATCAATACTCACACAAGACGAGTTACTAATTGAACTGGTGCGGACTCGAAGAGGTTTATGGGATCATTCAATTCCAATAACCGAAAGGACAAGATTAAAAAAAGAAAGTTTATGGCAAGAAATTGTAAACGTACTTGATGGTAAGATCATTTTTAATGACTTTTATGAATAATATTATCTGCGTGTAAAAGTAAATAATAGACAATTCTCTGTACAATCGTAGGATCTCTGTCTATGGAAACAGTTAAGCAGAGATGGAAATACTTGCGAGATTCGTACATAAAGGCTAGAAAGAAGATGCAAGGATACGTACGAAGCGGATTAGGAACAGAATCTGGCCATCCTTTACGAAGTTCGTTTGCTCATTATGAAGAAATGAGGTTTCTCGATGATACCGTAAAGACGACACCGTAAATATTTACATTTTTTTGCAGATATTATTCATATAGTTTAAAAAATAATTTTACCATCAAATATGTTTACAATATCTTATTACAAACTATCCTTTTTAAATCTCGTTCTGTAGCTGATTAGAATGGAATGTTCCCACATTAATTTTTTAACTAAGATTTTACGAACATTCAAATTGTGTATAATTGGATTTAATAATTTATAAAATTATAAAATTATTATTTTTGTTTCAGGACTGTCAGCTCCGTCCAGCACCTTTTGGAAGCAAATTCATCCCATGTTGAAGATATGCAAATGGACATGACTGCTGAAAATTCTACAGATCTTGATGATTCCATACAGGGTGTTTCATATTCATCGTCAGATTCATCACGATCTGCATCATCAGGAACGAAAAGGAAAAGTAAAGGCTCTTGCATAATGCTAAGCAACAGGCAATAGGAAATAGAAAATATCCATTATATAATAGAATAGAATAGAAAAGGATAATTAATAATATTATATATTGATCAATCTCGGATCGTTATTAGACACTTATTATATATATGCATATATTATTAATTACAGATGCGCAAAGGCAAGCTGAAATTGAGAATAAATTTCTTAGTATCATTGATGAAGTATCGAGCAAAAAACGTGATGTAGTGGATAGTTTTTTGGACCAGCTTGGTGACATTCTACGGCGACTACCCTACGTACGACGCAGAAACCTGCAAAGAAGGCTTATGGATATTGCCATAGAAGAAGAGGATGCCGAGCTTGAGAAGAGGGCGAGTGCCAAATAGATACGTTTTTTTTAATATAATAAATTGTTCAATTCGTGTAATATGTAAGTTATAAAGATTAAAATATATTTTTCTATTCAATTTATTACATTGTTGTTCATTATACATATTGTATGAATTGCTCTATACTATTAAATTTTCACAATATATATCGGAAAAACAGATTACGTACGAATATCATGAGAAACTTTTTTGAATTATATACTTTAACAAAATACAAATACAAAATTCTAATTAATACAGTTATTTACAAGTGCGTTGAATTAAAACTACATATTTTAAAAGTTGTTAGTTAAAACTTTATCCCACTGCCATGATAGAGGATTGACATGCTCGAAATAATGAGTAAAGTTGTCTCGAATTTTCACTGCTGCAGACTTTTGTGAAGTATTTCTATAATTTACATCTGTTAATCCATTACTTGTAGCCAGGAGATTAAACTCTTCTTCTTGTATAGTACAATACCTTCTTTCTGCAAGTGGTAAGTCCAATTCTTTATTAATAATAAAATTATGCAAGACAACTGTTGCTTGTACAGCTTTTACGGCAGTAGATGTGCATGTAACAATAGGTTGACGATATATTCTCCATCTTGCAACCAAAATTCCGAAAGCACATTCAACTGTTCTCCTTGCTCGACTCAAGCGATAGTTGAAAATTTTTCTGCTGATATTTAGCCGTCCACTTCGAGGGTATGGTCGCATCATATGTGTGCTTAGAGGAAAAGCCTCATCTCCCAACAAAACGTACGGAAAATCCAAATCCATATTATCCAGACGATAGGTAGAGGGATATGGAGAGCATTTGTTTCAAGTAAATGCGGTAACCCGCTGTTTTCAAAAACACCTCCGTCGCTTTGCCTTCCTTCTGCTCCAATATCAACAATAGTGAAGCGGTTCTTGGCATCACTTACTGCGAGCAGGTTTATGCTATGCTTTCCTTTATAGTTGTAGTAGCAGGAACCACTACGAGGCGGTGCCTGCAAAATTGAAAACCATCATTGTGATAAAGACATTACTTATTTCAAAACATACATAATTGCATCATCAATGTGTAATATATTGAACCTAAATTATTATAAATAAATTCATAATATACATACCTGAATTTCGACATGCTTCCCATCGATAGCGCCTATGCAGTGTGGAAATTGGCATGTTGTCTCAACGTCTTCTGCAATTGTACTCCAATTTTCATCGGTTGGATCAATCATAACTTTTTCCTTTAAGGAGAGCCAAATTGCTTTACAAGTTTCCGGAATAATTCGTGATAGCGTACATTGGGCAATGCGGTAAGCATACGATAGTGATGTCATGCTGTCTCCAGATGCCAACCATCGTATAGTCACCTATAATCTCGTTCTGGCCGATATTGGTTGTCGAACTACATGTTGTTTTTCGATGAGTGGCCAAACAATATTGAGTAATTCGGTAAACATTATTGGTGACATTCTGAGATAGTTGAAATATTTTTCAGGATCTCCCAATCGCATCTCCACAAGTAGATTGTCGCTGTCACCTTGAAGAAGTCTTCTTGTCTCAGTAAAAATAGGCCGTACCCATATTTTACGGTTCTTTCTGCCTTGCAGTTTCTTGTAACGCAAATATAAAATATACATTGAGATAACCTTTTTCATAGTTATCTCTGCATATCTCATCGGTTCATCCCGTGCTTATATGAGATACTTCATAATAATCATCAATATGATATTTGGATCCATTATTATACTGTTACTTTTAAAATAATAAAATAATCGAAATATATAAAAACGTTCTCCTTCACTCGTCTCCAAAATTTGATGGAATATACTGTATCCACTTAATATTTGACGCGCTCGTTCCGCGAATGTTTTTTCCTTATATTACATGAAGCACAATTTGCGCGGAAAAGCGGAACGATATGGTAACAAATAAATATTTTTATTCATTTTTTAACATTGTTTTCACTTAATTAATTGTAATTTTCATTAATATGCTTATCTTTTTAGCTTATCTATTGAATATAAGCATTTTAATCAATAAATATCGTTAAAAATTAATATTTTATAATTTTCCGTTCCGCTTTTCCGCTCAAAATCTGCTCCATGTAATACAAGGCAATCAAAACAGACGGAACGGAACGCGAAAATCTGGTTAGGGCCCGGGTACATAAAAAAACTTAAGCAGTAAGACTTAAGACGTAAGCGAATTGACCAATCACGGTCGAACAGTAAGGCAGCCATATTGAAACGTAAGTGCGTTTTCTATTATGCATGTTTGAAATAATTATGTTGGTAATGGCGGAACTAAAAATGTCGGTATTATCGACATTTTTAGTTACGTTTAGATGAGGGCGTTAAACCGTCGGAGTTCGCTCGTCGGTTTTGGATCCCCTTAAGCCCCGTCTACAATCAAGTCGGAAGACGCTTGTCAGATGTCGTTAGTCATATGTCGTAGCCGCTTGTTCGACGTACCAATCTACAATCGAGTTGTATGTCGTTACGGTGATTGATCAATTTGAGATAGGAAATTTAGAGGTTAAAGTCGAAATTGTGAACATAAATATTCATAATGGATAATACTGAACTGGTTGCGGTTTATAATAATTTATTATTGGCTTGGACACAAATTCAAAGAATACGAACAATCTTAAAGAAAAAACGTAAGACATCTCGAAGATGGTGAGTAATACCTCATATTTCCGTAGAAATGAGACACAATTTTGGAGCTCATCAGAAATTATTTAAATACTTCAAAACAAGTGATCATGAAGAGTTATTCAAGTTTACAAGGATGTCTGTTGAACAATTCGACATGTTGCATAATTTATTGAAACCGAAGCTCGAAAAGAAGAGTCACAGAAATCCTTTGGCGACAGAACTCCGTCTCGCTCTTACATTAAGGTTATACTATTAAATTTTGTAATTTCTTTTTCGGTAGATAGTATCAGAGAGCATTTTATTCAATAATTATTCTTTATTTTTAGTTATCTTGCTCATGGAGATAGTGCTGCAACCACAGCATGGCATTTTCGTGTAGGAAAATCAACTGTGTACAGTATCATTCCTGAAGTGTGTAAGGCAATATGGGATGTTTTACAACCACTGTATCTGAGATGCCCAAATGAAGAAAATGAGTGGTTGCAAATAGCAAATGAATTCAATTCTCTTTGGAATTTTCCAAATTGTATAGGGGCTATTGATGGCAAACACATACGAATTAAAGCTCCTCCCAAGTCTGGTAGCGCTTTTTATAATTATAAAGGCAGCTTCAGCTTTGTATTAATGGCTATTTGTGATGCTCGCTATCGTTTTACATAGTTGGATATTGGCGATTATGGTAAATTGATTAAACTATTTGAAATTAATTAAAATTATATATTTAGTTCATAATTATATACACTTGCCCTTTAGGTTCACTGAACGATGCCAGCATCTGGTCTAACACTGAAATGAGTACCACATTGGAGAGTAATACTGTGTCTTTACCACCAGAACTTTATTTGCCACATACTAATGTTGCTGTACCCTTTGCTCTTGTTGGTGATGAAGGATTTCCTTTAAAAAAGTATTTGATGCGACCGTATGCGAGAAAAAATTTAATTGATAATCAACAGCGTATATTTAATTATAGATTATCAAGAGCACGACGAATAATTGAAAATTCCTTTGGCATTCTTGTTGCAAGATGGTAAATTTTCCAAGGATCAATTTGTTTCAAACTAGGAACTGCTGAAGCAATTGTTGTCTTCATAATTTTATTATAAGCACAAATTATTTAAGCAACCGCTACATACAAGAAGATTTTGTAGATCGGGAAGGTCCCAATGGCGAACTTATCGAAGGCGATTGGCGAAATGTGATACAACATCCTGCAATTAATCGAATGGGACGAGTTGGTGCGAATATTGGTTCGATTGCAGCAATGAGGCAACGTGACACTTTAGTCCAATACTTTGTTTCCGATTAAGGTAGCATTCCATGGCAGTGGGAAATGATATAAACAAATTACCTGGTTTACAACTTTAACCCTTCCACACATTGCACACATCTTTATTAAAAACTGTATATATCTTCAAACACAATTACGTCTATACCTTTGAAAATTGTACATAGATCTTTAAATAAAATTATATGTATTTAATCTTTAAATAAAATCATATGTATTTAATCTTTAAATAAAATCATATGTATTTAATCTTTAAATAAAATCATATGTATTTAATCTTTAAATAAAATCATATGTATTTAATCTTTAAATAAAATCATATGTATTTAATCTTTAAATAAAATCATATGTATTTAATCTTTAAATAAAATCATATGTATTTAATCTTTAAATAAAATTATATGTATTTAATAAAATTATATTATAAAAAACTGTTTGGTAAAACTAATAACAACATTACCTACTAATTTTGTAAACGTTTTGGTAAAATCTTACTCTCTAATTTTGTAAAAAACTTACTCTTTAATTTTTGAACAATCTTACTCTCTAATTTTGTAAAAAACTTACTCTCTAATTTTTAAGCAATCTTAGTCTCTAATTTTGTAAAAAACTTACTCTCTAAGTTTTGAACAATCTTACTCTCTAATTTTGTAAAAAACTTACTCTCTAATTTTGTACTCTTTGGTATAAACGTTTTGGTAAAATCTTACTAACAATCTTACAACTTTTTTAGTAACCTTATTCTCTAATTTCATATTTTTGAATAACCTGAAGCACCTCAATGATGCATTGGGTTCTAGCACACATCTTTATTAAAAACTGTATATATCTTCAAACACAATTACGTCTATACCTTTGAAAATTGTACATAGATCTTTAAATAAAATTATATGTATTTAATCTTTAAATAAAATCATATGTATTTAATCTTTAAATAAAATTATATGTATTTAATAAAATTATATTATAAAAAACTGTTTGGTAAAACTAGTAACAACATTACCACACATAAAAAATTCGTACAACCACGCGAAGCGAGGTTCAACGCAAACCTATGTGTCTAGTTTTTTAATAGTGGAGCCCCCCGCAGAGGGGCGGAACATACTGTCTCCACACATGTACTTTTTAATGCGTAAATATAAAATGGAAAATTGTAAACCCATGTGAAACCTTATTTTGCATTAAAAAGTATATGCATGAGACGGTATGTTCCGCCCCTCTGAGGGGGGGCTCCACTATCAAAAACTAGACACATAGGTTTGCGTTGAACCTCGCTTTGTGTGGAATAGCAATTGTGGGAAAGTATAATATATAATTTTTTATATCTTATTAAATGATATTTATTTTATAAATCATTTGTTAAAGGATATACATCTGCCATTTTCTTAGCAAAAATATACTGACAGTGACGCAAATGTAAACAAAAAAACATAAACACGCAAGTAAGATATAGTGAAAAGATCATAGAAATAAATGCGAAAATTATGATACTTCAAAATCGCATATCTCTGAAACCAGAAGAGAGCGCCACAAAATTCAAAGTGCGTGTTACTTAGGAATGTGCCCTCTATAATATATGTAAAAATGAAAATGATCCGTGAGGTGTAAGTTAATCTGAACATTTACC